GGCGTGCATTTTTCTGTGACTCCTCTTTCTACTCAGTACTGTTTTTGAGGTTTATCCATGTTGCTGCATGTAGGTTATGCTAATTTGTAAAATAAGTTAGAGTGTCTCCTTTTTTCTTCTTCTGAGAGTTTATATAGAGTTGGAATTACAGTATTCGTTATCTGAATACTTAGAAGAATTCTGGTAAAACTTTCTGGGGCTGTATTTTCTTTGTGAGACAGTTTTTAATGACTGCTTCATTTTCTTTAATGGTTAAAGAACCATTCAGGCTTTCCGTTTCCTCTTGTTAATTTGGGTCATCTGTGTTTTTCTTGGACTTTGTCCATTTTGCCTAAATTTTCAAATGTATTGGCATAAAATCGTTTTATAATAGTTCCATATTCTTGCAATCTCAACTGCATCTACAGTTATGACCCCCTTTTATACTTAATGTTGCATGCTTAATATTTTAGTCTTTTTTTCGATCAGCTTTGCCAGAATCTTTTCAAGAGCCAACCTCTGTCTTCACTGATCTCTCTTCGCATCCTTGTTTTCTGAGGCAGTAACTTGGGTGCTGAGCTTACTTGTTTTGTCTACACAGCTCACTGATTCCAAACCTTTCTCCTTTTTCATATGAACATTTAAGGCTATGAATTTCCCTCTCTCTAGTGGCGTGCAGCATGCTAACACATGGTGTTCTGATTGTTCAGTTTATATGTTCCAATTTTAATTGTGTGTTTTCCTTTGACACATCAGTATGTAGAGGTGTGATTTTAAATTTCCAAATTGAGGGAGCAGCTAGTTTCCATATTGGGAGTTAGTTTTTTCTTTGTTAGAGATTTCTGACTTAAGTGTTCTGATGTCAGAATATCATATTTTTAACTTTGTTGAAACTTGCTTTGCAGATGATACATGGTGAGTTTTCTTAAATATTCTACCTTGCTTGAAAAGACTGTCCTTCAGTTTTGAATACCAGGTTCCGTTTGCGTCTGTTAGACCCAAGGTGTGAATTGTTCATATCTGTTCCTTTTGTTTGTTTGTGTGGTCTTTAATCTGTCCATTACTGAGAAAGATGTAGTACAGTCTCTCTTTGGCTACTTTTTAGATATTTTCTTCACCTCTAGCATTCTGTAGTTCAACTATGATGTGTCTCTTGGTATGACTTTTTTTTTTTTTTTTGTCTTTTTGCCTTGACTCTGATTGATACTTTTAAGCAGTCCTGGAAAATTCTCAGCCATCACCTCATCAAAAATTCTCCCCTTGGGCTTCCCTGGTGGCGCAGTGGTTGAGAGTCTGCCTGCCGATGCAGGGGACATGGGTTCGTGCCCCGGTCTGGGAACATCCCACATGGCGTGGAGTGGCTGGGCTGAGCCTGCGCGTCTGGAGCCTGTGCTCCGCAATGGGAGAGGCCACAACAATCAGAGGCCCGCGTACCGCAAAAAAAAAAAAAAAAATTCTCCCCTGTTCACTCTTTTCTCCCTTCAAGAATTCCTGTTGGATCATATCAGACCTTATATTCTCCATGTCTCTTACCTTCTTCTTTCATGTTTTTTCCCTCATCTTTAAATACTCTGTAATGGTTAGGAATATTTCTTCAGATCTCTCTCCTCATCCACAGCTGCTTCTGTTATGTCTAATCTTGCTGAAATTTGCTGTCTGTTGACATTTTATTAAAGTTGTTTTTCATTCTCAGAAACTCTTTTTGGTTTTTGTTACTAAGTCAGGGAAAACAATTAACTTACTCTGGAATAGTACACTTTGAAACAGTATACCAGTGTAGGAGATGGTGGCGGTAAAGTGCTTTCCAGTGGCCCTCAGATGGTTCTGCGTAGGTGGCCAAGTCAGCTGCAGGCTATAGTCAAGTAAATGGAGAGGGATTTTTGCAGTCAGGTGAAGCCTGATTAATGGGATGTGAGCTGGTTAACTTGATTATAAAAAATTCACAGAAAACCAACAGTTGGGGAATATATAGATCATAATCAGTCACAGGTTAGAACCACGGCAGAAGGAAGATGAGGAGAAGTGGCTCCCGGCAGCAAGTCCTAGGTGGTCCTTCTGTGTCAGAGTGACAGGATGTCCTGCCTCATCACAGTTTGCTCTTTTGATTTAATAGTGCCACCTCTACTAGGGATTAAAGGGTTATTTTTTAAAATTAACTATTTACTTGGCATTTATTTTGTCCACATTTGACAAGTTATGGTTCAGTAACATGGAGGAATGTCAGTTCACTGTCCAGCCATCTGTTTGTAAAGAATTAAAAATATATTAATTTGACTGAAAGTAGTAATCCAGATTCACTTGCATAGAGATTCTGATTATAGTTTGACGAGTTTATTTCTGTAGAGCTGGCTCAGTTAAATGCACTCTTTCTGTCATCTTTGAAATGAAAATAACAGGGCTTTTTTCCTACTGTGTTTTTCTTTCTCAGAAACTTATTTGTTTTAGAAGTATTCCTTCCAAAAAGTTTTTAAAATAGTAAACCAGAAAATTTAAGTTGGAAACATTAAATCACAACAATGAGATGATTTTACGTTTCGTTAACTATTTGAGTGAGCTACAGACCCTTGTGTAGACACCGGGGAAGCAGGGCATCTGCCATCTGCGTTTTGTTCCTGGACGTGCCCCCCGTGACCACGTGTGACATCAGAGCACCTTGACCTGCACGTTGCTGCCGAAGAGAGAGCTGGTAGATCATCACAAGCCTCTAAAATGCTGCCTCCTAACACGCTCTGTATTTCTCCATGTTATTACTGGTTGTTGAACTACAGTTGGCCTTGAACTACGTATGCCCTGGGGTTAGGGTGCTGACCCTCCACCCAGTCGTGTAACTTAGAGTCAGCCCTCCGTATCCACCCTCCCCGTCTGTGGGTTCGTACAGTACGGTAGTATTTACTACCGAAAAAAATCCACATATCCGTGGACCTGCACAGCTCAAACCTGTGTGAGAAAACCTATTTCTAATTACATAACTGTTGAATTAGCACCCTTTTTTCCCCTTTTCCATTAGAGACGGCTGGCCTGGAAGCCGTCAGGCCCCACCTTCCCTGAGAAGCTTTTCAGCCCCTTAGCAGTGCCCTGGTCACTCTTGCTCTCTCTGCTTCCTTATCAGCCACATTCCGTGAACATTGTCTTTCGTATGTTTTCTTGTCTGTCTGCCCTACTGGACTGTGGTTTCCTTCCTAACGGAGTTTTTTTTCACGTAACTTTCATCCATCACTCTCAGGTGGTGGGTTCGTGATAGACCCCATCCTTGCATAATAGGGTCAGGTGAACTCAGCTGACATCTGTGCTTCTCAGATGGTATGAACAGGGCATTTGAAAAATGATAATCATAGCTGCTAGCATTTATTATGTATTTTAGATGTGCTACACAAGGCTCATAAATTATCATTTCTAATCTTCACAAAAAAATTTATGAGGTGAGTATCGTTGATTCTCATTGTTTCATTTGTCTGGTACCTATCTGTGCGTACATTTATTTTCAACCTTTTTTCTTAAATTGAGATATACCTTATATACAGTAAAACATATAAATCTTTAGTGTATTAGATTGGTGACTTTTTGCACAGTACCCACCACCCAGATCAAAATATAAAATGTTCTCCTTGTGCCAAGTCCCATGCAGTGGGACAGCTGCATGGGCACCCCTCTCACCGCTGTCTGACTTCTGTCTGCACAGGTTAGTTTCTCCTTTTCTTGAACTTCATGTGAAGTGGAGCCGTACGGTTTGTAGCCTCCCGTGTCTGGCTGCTTTTGCTCAGACCTAATCATTTCTGAGATTCAGCCAAATTGTGTGTCTGTTACTAATCTGTTTCTTTTATTGCAGAGTTTAGGTAACATATTTTGCTTACTCATTCTTGGTAATGGGCTTTGGGTTGTTTCCAGTTTCAGGTCTTTATGAATAAAGTTGCTGTGGGCGCTGCTGTAAAAGCCTTTCTGTGGACATTTGTACCCTCTTACTTTACATACATACCTAGAAGTGGAATTGCTGGTCATGGAATAAGTTGATAGAACCTCTGACTATTCCCAAGTGGGGATATCCTTTACACTCAGCCAGCAACGTGTGAGTGTCCAGGTGCCCCACTTGCTCACTACCACTTCACATTCTGTTTTATTTTAGCCCGCCTCCTGGCTTTTGTTGGCATTCCCTGATAAACGGTGATGTTAAGCATCTTTCTTATGCATTGAGCTGTTCATATTCAGGTGCCGTCTTTAGAAGTGCCTGTTCGTTTCACTTGTTCATTTGTTAATTGGGTTGTTTACCTTTCTATTAGTGATGTTAGAAATCTGTGTATATCTTTGTCAGATATATATTCTTTGAGTAGAAATTTTAAATTTTGATGAGGTTTATCTACTTTTAAAAATGTTTAGTGTCTTTCATATCCTGTCAAAATCTTTACCTGCTCCAATGTCCTGAATTTCTTTTTCCCAGAGGCTTTGTAGTTTTAACTGTTATCTTCAGGGAGATGATCTGTCTCTTACTGAGTATTACATTGGGTTCATTATTACTATAATCATACGTATACTATGATAGCTTTATAGTATGCATTGAAAGGACAGTTGTGCTCTTTTTTCCTGGTATCTTTTCATGCTGTATTGTATGGTCTACAACCTCTAGTACAGTCTAGTGCCAGCCCCGACCCTGCACTCCCCAGATTCTCACTCCTCCCATGTTGAGGGCTCAGCCCACCCCCTCTGCAAGTCCTTGGCCCCTGGGTGGTGGTGAGACCAGGCATGGACGCACGGGGCTGACACTGACCCGCTCTTCCAGCAAGAACTAGTTCATGTGGGCTGACCTTCTTGTGAAGACGGCCCCTGGTCTATACAGAGGACTAATTCTTATCTTGTTACACAGCTGCACTAGAGTGGTCTTTATTACTGAAAGTAAAATAAAAATCTTGCCTTTTTGTAAGAAGTTGGTAAAAACTGTTAAAATCTACTGAAGTATTTATTTACATTGTTTTACTTTTTTCTTCACCCTCAAGCAGACAGCTCATAATTACTCTTCTTTGTGTTTATAGGTTAGCATGGCCTCACTGAAAGAGTTGGACCAAAGACTCTTTGAAAACTACATTGAATTGAAGGCAGACCCCATCGTTGGCTCCTTAGAACCTGGAATTTACGCAGGCTACTTCGACTGGAAGGACTGCCTGCCCCCGACAGGTGGGTGGTTTGAAGTTACTGAAGTCTCCAGATGCATCCAGAGGGGTAAATATGGATTTCCTTTGCTCAATACAGGCTGAAGATGCTTTTCTGTTTATTCCCTTTTTTTTTTTCATGTTTACTGAGGGGTTGATTTAAATTTTTATTAGCTTACCCACTTTTTGGTAGCCTGGGGTTATTAGTACTTAAAATGGTTAAAGATATTCTTAAATTCCAGAGAATAATTAATTACACCTCATAATGTGTGATCATCTCAGTAACGTCCACTTGCTTCCTATGATATTTCTTTACTTCATAGAAATAATAGACTGTGAGTGACAGTTTTATGCAATGACCTTGCAACCTTCATCAAAAAATTTACTTAAGACGTTTGGTCACTTCTATGGAAGACCCAGTTACTGATACCAAAAAGGTGAAAGATACAAGGAAAACGTATGGGAGTAAGATTATTATAATAATTTAACAAAGAACATTAAACTGGAGAAAGATGACTGACAGTTCCAGTATTATCGTTTTGACATCAAATGAAAGTCACTTAAATCACTTCATAATATATATTTTAGAACTAACTATTGCTTGTTGAATGAAATAAACTTTTTGATTGATCAAATAGTTGTTTCTTTGTATGAAGTACTGTAGAATACATAAAGCCAAGCAACCTACTAACATCGTTATGTCGATGTAGCGTGATGTGGAAATGGTTCTGTTCATGTTAGACATCGGTTCTTCGAGGCGAGTGTGGCTGTACCAGTGACCTGCTTGCAGGTTGTTACCTTCGTTCTTTCAACTAACTGTTGTGATCACCTGTCATTTTTGTTGTGTGATGCTTTTATTAGATGGTGATAACATTGTTTACTCTTTAATACCTTTGGTTTTTATTGTTATTTTTCATATTAGGGGTAACGATACAGTGACGCCAAAATCCTAAGCTAAGAGCCAGAATCATTAAATCAGTAATATTTTATGTGACTGCAGGTATTTAATTCCTGAAATCACCATCATTATAAACATACGAGCCTTCTGCTTACAGCTGACCATAATTGATCTTTTTCCTGTAATGCCAGGACTCTTGTGTACCCATGTTTTTCTGTGTCCAAACTGGATTACAGTTCACATCCCAAATATATCCTTTTACAGTTTAAGTCAGAGCCTGTCAGTAACTTGCTTAAAATTTTTGCGGCATCTTCCTGCTCACTCGTGGTAAAATCCACAGAGCGGGCAGCACTGAGTCCGGCACCCGCCCCCTGCGGCCCCTCCAGCTGCTTCCAGCACACTGGGCCTCTTGTGGCCCAGACTTCCCACATCCTCCCCCAGGTCCTTCCCTTTGCTTAGACGGTAATCCTCCCTCATGTGTACTTTTGTCCTCAGGCCTCTACTTAAATATCAGGACAGCAGCCATCCACCCTGCAGAGGTGACACGGCCAGTGGAGAGTAGGCATGGCGTTTTAGATTAAACCTGTGGGAATTACGTGTATTTTATGTGTAAGATAATTATCTACAAGGGAGAAGGCTGTACATGTGGTTCCAGCACCTGCCTTTATGTTGGTTGAGCTTCTTAAAGCCAAATCCGTGAGGTTGTGGGTAGTGGTCAGTTATCCAAGGTGGGTGATGAAATGCACCTTCTGTGTAAGCCGGGTTCCTGACTCCACGTGAACAGACCTCTGGAACTTTTGAACTCAACAGCCTCTGGAACTTTTGATCTACCATCCTTTTCAAAACTCTTGGGCTAGATGACTGGGAGTTTCAGTATCTTTGGACTTTAGGAAGGTAACAGTGCACATACCACATATTATGTTATATCCCCGGTAGAGATCCCTGCAGAGAAATAGGTGAATATTAGATTAGGAGTGATAACAAGATCCTTATCGGTTCAGGTGAGACATGCCACCACAAAAGTTCATCACGAATTTGCAAGTTCACAAACAGAGGCTCTTGCCTCCCGGGTTCTATGTCTCCCTTGTCTAGACTCCAGCATGGCGTGTGGTGCCTGCTCGTGAAGATTTGTTCAGTGACTGGGGTCCCCTTGCTGCTCCCACGGAGCCATGCCCGTGTCCTCGCTGCCCCCCCCCCGCCACCGCCTCACTCCCGCCGGGTCCGCGCCTGCTCCGCTCGGGGGTTGTTTTCGGGTCCTTTTAATCTCTCTTGTAACTCTTCAGTACACGAACGTAATAGATGTATTTCTGTATCTGTTTTTTATTTCCCTGTTTTGGAGAAATTTTTAAACAAAGATGTGAGGAGATTCCTTTCACATTCCCAGACTTCTCATCATTTAAGTTTTTTATAGAGCAGTGACTGAAAGGTTCAGAATTCCAAGGGTCAGATCGCAGAATGTTTTTCAATAAAATCTCTCCATTTTCTCCTCAAGGGAACAATACCCAGTAATCAGCTGTGCTCTGTGCTTGGCCCCTAGCCTCTGCAGACCAGCCTGGCTATTGCTTCCCCTTGGGGGCCTCTCTCCTTCCCCTGAGACATGTATGAATTACCTCACATGGGCCCTGCTGCACCAAGCTCTTGTGCAGTTAACCAATCCCCAGTTCACAAATGAAGGATACAGCAGGCCCTGCACACGTGCACACACGTGTGCACACACTTGCACATACGTATGTACATATGCACACACATGCACATCCTAAATGTGTTAACTCCTTGCAAACAGTTTCAGTCATTTGCGTGCCTATAACACCTGTGCCTCGCCTATGATTATCACTTAATACTTACTACCATCTTCTAAATTTCAACTATCCTAAGACACAAATTACTTATGACCTCCTGAGGGTCGGGGAGGGGTGGCTAGGACATCAGGCACTGAACCCTAAGCTCTGGTCCCCCTAACTGTACTCACAGCCCCGTCACACTCCTCTTTACAGCCCAGCTTCAGAAAGTTGGCTGGGTGGTTCCTCAGAGATTCCATGTGAGGCCCCGTGTCCTCTCGTGTCCTCCCGACATCTCCGGCACCCCTGCGACTCCACCTCTGTGCCATGGCTGGGTCCGTGGACACGCTCGCTCTTGTGCTCCGTGACCGGAGTGCTCCCGGGCTGCTCCCTCTCCCTGGGAGAGATGGCCCTCCTGCGGGCCCTGTGGTCCCACTGCTGGTGGCCGGCCCTCAGTCTCCTTCCCCTGCCTAGCCTTGCACCCTGGCGTCCCCGGGACGCTGGCTTCCTCTGGGCTTGCTAGTCTTTCCTCGGACTCTGCCCTTCCCACGCCTCCTCCGGGAGCTTCCCTGCCCGCCCCCCGCTCCCCGGCCTGCCCTTGAGTCCTGCACGTGGGCGGTCACTGTGCCCCCGGCTCCTGTGCTGCGAGCTGAGGGTGGGAGTTCACAGGTTACAGCCTCAGTGACGTGTGGGTCATGCCTCAGTTTATCTTCTGAGTACTTGCTCTGTGGTTCACAGTGATTTTTCTCAGTTGTTTTTCCGATAGGAAAGTAAATCGTGATGTTCTCGTTTCCATTAATCTTCTTGTTCACTTTTTAATAAATACAACACGGTGGGTGTTCATATTTGTTTAACCGAAGTGAGCATGTTAGCACTTGCTTCCTGTGGAAGCTTTGTGCATCCCTAAATCTTGAGCAATTGCATTTGAATTAAAACGTGCATGTCAGGGATACCTGACATGTGAGCAGTTCTGTGCAGCATCGCTGTGCTCTTCAGGGACAGTTGAGGCGTGTCTGGCTCAATCCCTGTGAGGACGAGGGTGTGGGAAGGGCAGTGCCAGGCTCTTAGGGTCTTGGGTCCCACTGCCTCCAGATGGGTGACTGACTCAGACTGTCCAGATCCTGCCTTGAAGGGACCTGGGGTCCTTTCTCTGCCACTTCCCATCTTCCCAGCCCTCAGCGTGAGTGATGATGGATAGAAAATGATGTCATCATTATCGGGGCCACTTTTTATACAAAATGAAGCTTCTGCTGGCCTTGTGGCATTGAGGCCTGTGGCTCTGTCTTTCAGATAAACTTCCAGAGCAGACGCACACACCACTGCTTTGTCAGCCATTCATTTACCATTTCTCTGGTTCCAAAGCCTCTTAGAAATTGTTGGTTTTAGTTTCACTTTTATAAACTGTATTTAGTTCTGTTCTTGGTGTAGCTTTGACTTCGTGATCCCCAACTGAACTTCAGTCTCGCATAGTCATATAGTGATTTTTAGTTTCTTTAAAGATGACTGAAGTTTTGAGACCTCGTGTAAGGTGAACAGCCAAAATAGTTTGACTTCAGTCTTCCAAAATAATTTCAATTAACAACTTTAGTATTATCTTTAGAATTTTCATCTCCAAAATTTCATCCAAAACTGAATTTTACAAATCACGTAGGTAACCGATTGTTTATTGCAGTAGTTAGCAATAAATTTAGTTTCTGATACTGTTTGTGGTGATTTTTAAAAAAAATTCAGGTGATTAATTTCACGATTCAAGAAGAGATATTCGTTAAAGCTTTTTTTTTATTATTTTTTTTTTTTAGCGGTACGCGGGCCTCTCACCGCTGTGGCCTCTCCCGTTGCGGAGCACAGGCTCCGGACGCGCAGGCTCAGCGGCCATGGCTCACGGGCCCAGCTGCTCCGTGGCATGTGGGATCTTCCCGGACCGGGGCACGAACCCGTGTCCCCTGCATCGGCAGGCGGACTCTCAACCACTGCGCCACCAGGGAAGCCCCATAGCTGTGCTTTTTTAACCTGACAGTTGGATATTTAAATTCTCACCTCATTATTTGTATATGTGTCAGGAAAGATTATTCTGGTTACTTCTGAGTCACTTAACTGACTGTGTCGTTATTCTTATCTGCAGTTATTAAGAGCTCTGAGTATTTGCATTTGATAGGTTTTAGCTAAATTGAGAATGGTCTTAGTCTTCATTTATGAATACACATGGAAGTTCATATCTTTAAAACATATTGGATAAGAAAAATAATCTTTCTTAAAATTTTCTCTTAAATATTGGTGTTCTGTCTAAAAGGCATTCAAGTTTACATATATTCCTAAAGATACTTAATAAATGAATTTAAAATTAACCAT